AATGTCAGACTTATTACTTATCCTTTTTCTTAAATTTTACTTATCTGCAGAACGGTTTTCCTTTTATATAAAAAAATTTAAAAAAAGGCTAAAAGAAGCAGAAACATCTTTATAATCCAACTGATCGCACAGATGAAAGAAAACATTTTTTATGTTGCATACCGTGGAAAGTTTGTTCAGTGTACCATCAATTTGCACAAAGTATGCCTCCAACAGCATCTCGAGTTCCTCCACATCGAGCTGTTTGCTTATAGCGCTATGGGTAGTACTGGTCCGGGTCCCATGGCTGTCCCTGCCAACATTTGAGGAACCAAACAAATGATCCTGGGAGGCATCCATATTGCCTTCATAGTTCCCACCACCGTCCAATGATATTTCAGCAGGAATTCTGAGGTAATTGGAAACAGAAAGCAGTTTCAAAATGCAGAAATTAATCAAAAACAACACAAATAGAATAGATGTCTGTGGTTCTGTCTTTAAGGTGACATAAGAAGAATCTCGTGCCTGTCATCTTTGCCTACTTGCTGAACTTCATCTTCCATGTCATCTCTCTCAGGAATTGAAGAAGTGGAAGAGTTCTCAAGCTGTTGCTGAACAATCTTCTCTGTTAGGTACATCTCAGCCATATCCTCATCGTCATCTAGCAAGTGCTCTAATTCGTCCCGCACCTGTAAATAACCATAGCATCCCACCAGAAAAGTCAGTGTTTAAACGAATAAACCATGGATCTTTCTCCTAAGAAAACAAGGTTAAAAATGTTCATTTCTCCATGCAAAATAAGGAAATGTGTTGTGACTATAACTAAAATCTAGCAACCTTTTGAACCCGTCCAGTTATAGCAACCAATCGACTTTTGATCTGACGCACCCTTTCCAAATTGAGAGTACTGATCTTAGAAGTCAGCTTATCTAAAGCTGGGTGAGCTTCTAGCTCCAATGTATCTGCCTGGAACAAAAGGAGGTGATAATCAAAAAGCCAAGAAAACAGTACTATACTAGACAATGTGCTAAATAGAACCGAGAAAGCGAAACTAGATAAATAAACAAAAATAAAAAGTTCTTACTTCACTTTCTAAGCAACTGCAAGCAGCTTCAAGGCATGCCTCCAAAGCAACAAACTCAAATGGAAGAACCTTCAATCCCTCCCGGTTTTCAAGACCTTGTTTCCCGCTTTCCTCCTCTTCAGCCTGTGGAAATCCCTGGTACGAATTACGAGGACTTTGAGCCCTTGATCGTGGCTCTTCCAAGTCATACAGATTTCTCCAATTAGAATCATCGCCATTGCCCTCCTACAAAAACATTGCAGAAAACTAAACACAGATTTCCTTCATCATAGAACAATACTGCAAGGAGATTAGTAAATCAAATATTTTGAGCAGAAGAAACTGAAGTAGAGTTTCGTTGATTGGTAATGAGCCATCCAAAGTTCCAAACTAGAATCAACTTATTATTTCATTCAAAGTCTAAATAGAAAGTTAATTTGACTTGATTATGCACCTATGTTAGAAACTGGTGACTACTGCATTGCAAACTGGTGATTTGATTATGTAATAACTGAGTTATCGAGGCCCACTTCTTGAGCATATACTCGAGACCCCACCCACTAATCACGGAAGCTTCAGCCACCCCAAGACTAGCCCACGAGGCAACAAGGTTTTAAATTACAAACCCAATACCTTGTTCTCCAAACATGAAGGACTAGTTTTAATATCCTGACATGAAATCCCACACTCAATATAATTTGAAAATAACTTGAAAAACATAAGTTGTTTAGAACGGTCCTCCAAATCACTAGAGCATACAAAATACTCAAGAGGGAACAAAAACTCATCAAATCAGATAAGTTCTTCAAGCACATTTCGAACAGAAAGCTAGCACAAATGGATAAAATCAGAAACACTATTTCAGGTGCTTCGCGAGATCATCAAAAGGCTCGGCTACTGTATCGCAAAATACCTCTTTCTTATACGTGTAAATACTCAATTCCATGAATCAAGAATTCGGGTGATAGGTGAAGGCGTTGGTCCATCGGTGCCTTAAGGGCAATCCTTTGAAGATGCCAATGGGGCGGGAATCAATCGAGAATTGGAAACCCCATAAGCTAAAATCAGTTCATTCACATCAACCAAACAGGGAGAAACAAATGCATTAATTCTTCAGGAACTTGGTTAAAAGTTAAAACCATAATTCGAATTGAAACCTGAGCGGCCTTAGTGGCTTGGTGGTGTCGCAGCAACCGCCTCTGAAGCTCCTCTACAAAGGGGGTCACGGACGGATCCCTAGCATTCAACACGAAGACATCTTGAGCGGTGATAATGGCTTTGATGTGCTCCAGATTGATCACAATCGCTTTCTCACGGCCAAGAATCGTCGACGGATACGAGAGCATTGGATCAAGGATCCGGAGGTCCCGCGCCGGCAGACCGGTCCGCCGCATGATCGCATGTTTTCCGGCCTCCACCACCTGAGCTCCGCCGGTCGAGTCCAAGAGCAGCCATGGCCGGACTCCGGTACCCTTCTTCCGAATTCCGGCGCCTAAAGGGACGTTCATTCCGGCGTGGGAGGAGCGGAGTGGTTCGTTCTCCTCATCGGGTGCGGCGACACCCGGCTTCAGTGGGTGAGGATGCTGTGCCCGCATGGAATTTCGCCGCCGGTACGGTGGATCAACCTCAGAATTTTCTGAGAGATCAAATAAATTTTCTTATGGGAAGAAGTGGGATATTTGATTTGATTTGATTTTAATTTCTCCTCGCAATTTCTCTTAGACGGAGAATCAGAGATAGCGAAAATTCATGTCCGGTCGAGGAGGCTTCTGCTTCTTCCGCTGGGATTGGAGTTCGAAGAGAAAAAAATGTTCGTTTTTTTTTTTCCAATTAATTTTAGAGATGAAAATTCCTTTAGAAAATACAAATATATATATATGGAAATATTTTTAAATGCTAATGATTCAGAAGGAATATAATTGAAGTTCTTTGATGTTCATTAAAGAGAAAAAAAAATAGTGATACTGTATAAAATTTAAATATCTTTTAGTGGAAATTCGAACCCATGATTTTGTAATTATAGAGGTGTCTTAATTATAGCATATAGGTTGGACAAAAAGCTTTTAATTTTAAAATTAAAATATGACTAAGATTAAATAAAAAGAAAATTTGAAATCACTCAGAATAATTAATTTGGTCCTATTTATACACAATAAAAATTCTTTAATGCAAATTCATGTCAACATTTTAAAAAATTTAGTGAATAAAATGTCACGTTAACATTATGATTAAAAGAAACAAGATAAAAATAAAAATAAAAGATTCAAAATTATGACATTTTAAATATATGCGGATTAAAATGAACATTTTGAAAGTACAGTAACTAAAATTAAAAGTACGGGACAGATTAAACGTTTGGAATATAGTTAAGTTAAACTTCAAAACATTACTAATTAATTGAGATGTAAACAAGCAGAAAAATCCAGTTTCTCGTTAAAAACCTATTAGAGCAATTGGGTTTATAGGCTGAATCCGAATCTTCTTGACATCATCCTAAATACAAAATTACTTTCACTATCCCTCCACCCTCTTTCTTATTCTCTCTCAGTCTCTCTTTTCTAAAATTTGTTTCATTTTAACTCTTTTACCATAATTTTCCCTTCCACCCAAGTTTCCCTCTCTCTACCTGAGTTTCCCTCTCTATCACCTATCCTCCAAATTTTTATCTCTCTCAATTCTTCTTCCTTTCTCCTTGATTCTTTCTCCCTGATTTTTTTTCGTTTTTTTACACCTTTTTCTCTTTTGATTTTGGCATGCACTCCTCTTTCTTTCTTCAATTTTTTTCTACACCCCTAAATCAGAAACGCGTACACAAAATTGCAAATCCATTCGATTTTTGTTTCCAAGAATCATAAATGCATATACATAAATTTTAAGAGCAGATTTCAAGATGAGCGCAGAGAAAATATAAGTTTTAAGAGCAGATTTGAAGACGAGCGCAGAGAAAGCATCGGTTTCGTTCTTGTTCTTGGCTT